TAGTGCCAATGTAGGTGGTGCCCCTATCATGAGGAGGAGGGACATGTCTCCCACATATTTGTAAGGGGGGTTGTTCCCCTCACTTTTTGTCCCCCTCACTTTTTGTCCGCAATGTAATTTCATAAGTCAAGAAGATGCCTGAAAATTGTTGAAATGAACTGCATGAAGGACCAGGTTTTAACGAAAGACCGCTGTACAGGCAGAGTGAATCTTATTTTATAGCAAGATACCGGTATAAATAAATAAATATAATTTGTCAAGTATGAGAAAAAGCGTATAAAGATAAGATTGAAGTAGGTAAAGTTGAGTAAATACATCAAAGACAATTAAGTTTTATTTTCTATGGTACATCACAGCGATTAATCAGATTGATGATGATGAATTTTACTATATAAAAGTGTCATTTCCGGAAATCAAGAGGTACTATTTCCCCAAATTTTCCCATCTATGATGGGGCTGAGATGAGTGTGGACTTATGGCTCTGTAGTAGGTAAAGTAATACATCAAAGACAATGTTTTTAAGTTTCATTTTCTATGGTACATTACACATATTTAGATCTCTATGGTTGCTGAAAGTCGCTGATAAAATACCACGAGAAATTTGTTGGCTCTTCATTTTGACAATAATGGTGGTGTGAGGATGAATTTTACTACAAAAGTGTCATTTCCAGGCATCTAGAGGTACTATTTCCTCAAATCATGAAATGTCCCACCTACTTTTCAAAACACATCTGTGCCCTTAGCCCCTATCTTACCTCTAAAACTACAGAAATGCAATTGAAGGGTATGTCATAGTGGTTTGAGAAAATTGTTATCCTCATCGACTAATATTGTGTTGTTGTTCTACTGACTGATGTAATGATACTATTGCTACTGTCCTTGAATTTTTAACTTTTATTTGGGAGACATTTTTCTTAAAGTATTCCGTAATGTTCAGTTAACTGATAAATCCATCATATGATGCAACTTATCATTCATAATTCATAGATTTATTTTCCATTTTGAATTTAACAAATGAAATTCATTACTGAATTCTGTACCTTCATTATACAAGATTACTGTTTTCAATTTCAAATCAAAAAGTTTGTATGAATGATATACTAACACAGATTCAGCTAGATGGAATGGTACAGAAAAAGATTAATTTTCTCTATTAGTGAGAAAGGAAAGAATATTAATTGATTTGTGCCGTAATACTTTAATGTATACTATTATGATCATCAGCCTCCTCCTATGTGACGACTTACCCCATTAACTTTATCCTTTGGGGATGTTGCAAAAAGCTTTGATGTAGCCTCTAATGCCCAATTAAAAAATCCATCTAAACCCTTTCATGTACGATCAAAACATGTAATTCTGTAAAGTTCTTTAGCTAGATCCTTACAATTGTGCATGGAATTGAGATGCCAAGTGTAGTAACTTACAAAATATCTTTCCTGTGCAATGACAGGGCATTCTCAGTTTCATGTTACAAATTGTTCGATGGACTTGAAATTCTGAAATAAAAGATGAATGAATGATTGAATATTAATAACATACTGGTATTCGTAAATGATACTCAGTGGCCCACCATTGACCCTTGTGAGCTTGCTACATGCAGGCTATATTGAAGTGCCTGGGGTTAAGATTTGTGTTTACCTCTATGGTCTAATGGCACGAGGCTGTAGGTTGGTATGATTATAACCTCTTATGTTCCTATTTAAGCACTGATATTAGTATTTATATTAGGTAAAATGATTATGATAATCTAGAAGATAAAGTTAAGAATGTTGCATTTCAATTACTGGTACAACATGGCACATTAAATACAAATATTAAACTTCCATACCACCATATATAGGTAGGCCATAGCCTTCTTCAGTCTTCTTCGCTATGTAATTTGCAGTCATTCTCACAGAGTGCTTGCAAATACAGGTTATACTATACAAATAATATGTATTTGGTATTCCAATACAAGGTTTGTTTAGACTTAGTGAGAATATATGAAAATCCGAATAGATTTAAAGAATGGGAATCTGCGAGCATGAATTTTCTTCAGTATTGGGCAGTTGGCCACTAGATGTGTATCTGTATACTATGAATGCACAAGCTGAATTGCTCATCTCTTTGTGGGTGAATGTGCTCTTGTTATTGCTTTTCAAAGGGTGCTGTAATGCTAGAATACCTTTCACACTTAGGTACCAGAATTCATCTACCCTCCCCAGGGAGCACTATAAGAAATCTAGAAAATCTATATTACAAATGGACAGATTTTGAAGCCAATACTGCAGCCAACAATTTTATGATCGTGATAAATATACTTTAAGAAATATCAATTGTTAATAACACAATATTAAATATATAAATAAAAATTAGTAAAGCAAAACAAAATTGTCTATTTCTTTTTTTTTGGATTTTAATGAAGATAATATATAGAGTATGAACATTATGTAAACAATGATAAGCTTTGCAGAACTGAGATGTTATTCTCTCAACATTATTTGAATTCTTTGGCAGTACAATAAAATGATAATAAATGATATATAGCTTTCTGTTGTTTTGTATAATGACCAACCTTGGTGTGCTGACAGTTTTTGAAGTGTCATTACACTTTTATACCCAGAGGTTAATCAATCGTTTTATTTCTCATTGCATTGCTACACCAGCCAACTCTCACGCATAATGCACAAGTCTCATGAGCATCCAATTTTTGCGTATCACACCCACGTTTTATCTCGCACATCATAAAAATTTTATAAAAGATAAAAATGTATATGCCGATTATACCCTAAAATTCATAAAAATGATGTGAATTCGTTGTGAACACAGGTCATATACATTTACTTTAACTAAGCTTTACCGACCGACTACTAATCAGTAGCAGTTCGTCACTGCAATTTAAAAAAAGAAAAAAATAACAGAAGCGCTCTATTTTGTGATTTTTACATAGAGGGCGCTATATACAAATATCTTTTTTTTTTTTGTCTCATGCTTTTGTTTGTCTTCCAAATAATACCATTTTATGGGCTTTTGAATGTTTATCAAAATCTTATTTTCCCGCATTTAAAATTGCATTCATTCATACTAACGGTAGCTTGATATCAGTAAATGTGTGTGTTAGGAAAGATCTGCACATAAGACAAACATGATTTAAAAATAAAAAATTTGTATGTTTTGTGCGTATAGAAATGAAGTCTATCATTATTTTAATTTCTGTACTAGATACAGTTTCAAAATTGTCAACATTTTGTGATTAAGTAGATTTGCCATGTCTAATTATGATGAGATTGAACGCCAACAATCTTATTGCTGCGGGGATCACTTCCTCTTGTTTTGCTTTCATTGCCAATCTGTAATGGTGTGATGTACACAATGCAACACTCTTAACGTAATTTCAGTTTGCCAACCAGCGTTCAAAAGTGTTATTACCACTCTCATAACTTTGATTATTGGACAATAAACATGCCATGATTGTTGCGCCTGAAGCAAACATGATTCAGAGCGCAACATGTCTCAATTCTCACCCATTATCTGACATTTGTAACAAAAATCTACTAGGAAGCTAAAGATAGAAAAATATTATTCCAGAATATGTAAACTCTATTGTTGACATATGAAACAACCTCTTAAAGCAAAAAATAATATATCAGAATATGTTGTCTATTTTGCTACATACATGGTACAATAGGATACAATATATTATGTATTTTATTACATAAAAGTTCCTCCTAAATGGATATAACACTGTGGGTAGTATGTTGTTAACAGATAATAATTACAAAGTGATTTATGGAGAATGGTTTTAGAGTGCTTAATTTATTATTTACTATAGGAAGAATTGCTATAAAAACTTAACCCGGAAATCCTAGCTGACAAGTACACAACTTTATCGCATATAAACCACCCCGATAGGAGCACTACTGTAAAATTAGACTAAAACCTAAAATGACTCCTTAATATACAGTATTTTATCACTGGTGATCTGTAATGTTGTTGTGTACATTGGAAAATATTTAGAACAAAAAAGTTTTCTGTGTCAGTGAGCCTAAATTAGATGTTTCTTTAAAACAGCATGTGTTGCTAGATTTATTTTTATATCCCTCATTGATTATTTGTCCAAAAAGGAAGCCATATTGATTGCTTATAGATCCAGCAAACTGATTAGATCGCTGTATAGTGATATTCTATAATTATAGGCCATTATGGACGTCATAATATAGTCATCTAAGTTAAGATCCTCTGTAGACTGCTTATAGCATTCTGTTCCAGATCGCTTAGTTCATAACTTGTTATTTTAATAGTAATCATATATTTTAAAACAATTTAATGGACAACCACATGCAAGGGTTTGCTTACCCTATCCAATATCCAATAATCTGATTTCATTACAGTTGAGGAGATTTGTGGACCCACCACGAGCAGCCCATGGATGTTATTATTCTGTGAATTAACACATAATAAAAACTACCATTAGATAAATAATTAAATTTAAGTTATGTTCCTTTGGACTAAGAAAAGGACTACTTGGTTTTATAGTATAACTTTCCATCAACTGTGCATCTTACTATGTCATCTTCCGAAAAGCTCTTCTTAGTAACAGTAAGTCATTTGCTCCCAATGCCATATGTGTGCTGCTGAGATTTCTCGAGTTTTATCGCTTGATTAAGTGTTCTTGCAGATGTTTTTTTAATACCTCTGTCGCCGTCGATGTCGGTATAATGATGCAACTGCTAGCCCATATGCAATCACAGTTGCCTTGTGGTTCTCGTTCAACAGACAAAAAAAAGTAAAATGATTTCTGAAAGGTCTAATCATATGATATGAACTTTCATTTGAGAGAATCTGATTTGGTGGTGTATGTTACTTTTTTATCTATGGTGTATTATTCAGATTGATCAGCAAGAATTTCTTTTTTTTTTTAACTACCTTATTTTTGTCTACTAATCTTTGCCAGTGTCATTTTACAACTCTATTTAATATTATAATTACAGGAGGATATATAATGTATTCATTGTCATTTTTTTCTACCATTATACATTACAAATGGACATCATATATTTTCTTTGCTCTAATCTATTTTGATTTTTTTTTCAGTTTATTCAGATCAAACTAATTAGCCTTTTGTTATTTATGTTTCATTTACTTCATTTCATTTCCATTCTTTTCTCATTGCCTTCATCAGTCCCGAGCTGCCCATATGAGGCACTCTGTGAACGTAAGCCTATTTACAACTCAAAAACTTTATTCATATTTTGGCCTGCTAGGCCTTTTTTTCATACTACTTGGTCTGCAAATCATTTGGGCTTCACATTGGCAGGGCACTTTGTTTTAACAACGCTTGCAAAATGTTACTGTTTATATAGGTTTTTTAATAACATTTATATAGTTTATTTTTATGGTTGTATTCATTCAAAAGATCATTCCATTTGAATTCTACTATATTATGGTATTAGTGTTTCTTGTCAGTGGATGTAACGATAAACTTGACATTAGTGTCGTCTGCTCATCTAAAATCCATTCTTTCTGCACAGTGTCAAAGTTGATGGATTCTATCTGCAGTTGCTGTGTTTTCGCTTGTCTTGTGACATTTTTTTCTTGTTCTTTACTGCGTTAAGCTTTAAATCCAGTTGCTTTTGTTAACACCAGTGTTATGTGTTTCTGTGATTTTATATGTGGTTTAAAGAATATTCATTGTATTTTTCCCTTGACGTGCATGAAAATCATACATCATATTTTATATTATTTCTTAAACATCTGAGAATCACATTTTTGGTGTTGTTAATGTTTTCATTTTTTTAACTATACACAATTTTCAATTCTTTAGGCATTTTAGCATCTCCTTTTTCAATAAATTGGTTTTAGAATTATGGTACTATTTATTCATAATCCTACTTTTACTTTTCTTTTTCCTGTTCTAAATTTATCACAGATCACAATTACCTATCACTAAATCCTCTCTACCCCTTTATGTCATATTTATATTTTACTATGTACTGTATTGTGTAGGTTCAGACAAGTAATAATTATAATGAAAATGCTTTTATTTTGAAATGAATAAATCTTGATCAGTCATACAAAACAAATTAGCAGATATATTATATGAAAAATAAAAATAAAAACAAATTTAAGAATTATGAATAGAGGGGGGCTCAGGTAGCAACTTTTACAGATGGAGGGTTCACCAACATGGTGCCTGAGATATAACATTGTTATGGATATCTCTTAGATGACAGTAAATGTCTCTAAGGCTTAGGTTTGAATCTGAGACAACTCATTTATAGTCATCGTTATACTCAACCTTTGTACTGTCCAGCTTTACGCCCATATAGTCAGTGAGGCTGTCAAACCCATCCTGGGATTAACCAGAAAAAAAGTAACCTGTGAATGAGAATTGACTGCAAGTCAGATCCCACCCTATTAGTTTCCTATGATCAACAACCATTGTGCTATTTTTCTAGAATGAATCTAGCTTATCTTTAAGAAAGGGCATTTTGTGAGGTGCTCAAGTCCTTGTTATTATATGCTATATTGGGTATATTAGTATGATATATTTTACACTTAGTTTTGATGAGGTTTCAATGAGGTTTCCGAGTGGAATGCATCTAAAGCCGGACACTTACTGTGCCCGGCGGTCATCGGGCAATGTGATTCTATCGAGAACCCAATGCCACGGTGCGCATGCAACGGACCGTTTTTGGTGACGATCCGTTCTGACTGCCACCGATAATCAGCAGACAGCGTCGCGTCGTCTGGCACTCATAGGGAGTAAAGTTGGATTCGTTGTACGTCGGTCGTACGATGCAGTGTGTGCCCAGCTTTAGAATTTCAAATTTAAGACAATACCAATGCCCAGTGATGCAAGATCCATTTTCTACTTGAGTGTTTCTCCTAATTGAGAATAGAAGCAAGATAGCTTCATTTAAATAGAGTTTATATATCTAACACCTAAAACATATCCTACTACACTCTCAGGACATGAACCTGTCTGCATTAAGCTAAAGACATCATCATTTGAACTTGGATGTGTTCATCTCCTATAAAGTCAAAATTCAAGGTAGAATTTCACAAGGATAAAATCGGACTAAAAACAATAAATAAAAAATTTTGTTGTGTGTTTTTACCAACATTTACTAATCTTTGGGGTGTTATTCACATCATGACTATATATGGGCACATCATGACTATATATGGGCATACAACAGTTTTTTGTCAAATAAAATTTGATAGTCGAGACAGGGCTTCTTCTTGTAAAATAAAAAAGGTTGCTAATAGGTCAACAAAAGTGTAAAAAGGTCAACAATTTAGCCAATGATAACCAATGCATTAACTGAAACGTGTTTCTCTTCGAACATATTAAAGTTTGTCTTTCAATTTTACTATTTAAATCATAATTAATTGTTGCTATTTAATATGTTTCGTTTGCAGTAGTATTATGCTTAGACGTGATACCATTAAGCTACATAAAGCAGATTTAAACAGTTAATTTTCATAGATGAATATTGAACAATGTTTTACAAGTGGCATATTGGTTCTTGGACTGCTTCATTAAACTTACATAAAAAAGTTCTTTAGCTGCTTTGTGTTAGGTGTGCTAACATGTATCATAAGGCTTGACCATTCAAATCGATTATAACAATAGGCCAACTTTACAGAGATAATAAGAGTAAAATATTGCATAAATAATTTCAAGGCCAGAAACAACAAAAGACAAAATGGAAAGTGTAACTGCTTTATAATGTTTAGGCTCAGTTCAGGTAATTGCCTAGCAAAAAGTTAAGCATCGACTTAAAGGAAAAAAAACAATAAACCAATTCTTTTAAATATTGTATTTCATCTTGAATATTGTGAAAAAAAAAGTGTGTCATAATCATAATGATTTGATTGATCGATTGATTGAATTTATTCGATGCTCAAACAAGATAAAAAATGATATGTGAACAAAAAAAGTAAAAGTATCAGGAAAGCCCATTAGGCCAGAGTCCAGCCCATTTCCAATGTGGTCCAAAATTGCACATTAAAAAATTATGTATAAAATCATTAATGTTTAAAATTTGACAATTGACTTAAAAACATGATATATTTACAAATAAAGCCAACATAAAAAAAATACACAAGAATTATTAATTGGTTATTTCACAACCTGTCATGGCCTCAATTGTGTAAACAAATTGACATTTTGCACTTTGCCATAAAATATTTGATACTGTATGTTATGCTAATTCTTACCATCATTGTGTACATTCAAATTGTTTACATTCACAATCACTTTCACTATTTGTCAGGTTTATATAGCGACTAATACAATAAGCTTTTTTCTGCAAGCTATGGCATTCAAACATAACATATTTGTGCATTTATTATCAGATAACTTAAAACTATGTTGAATATTAGACCACCTTTTCCTATAAAAACTCAGTTTCATTTCGTAATATTTCCAATTAGCCTGTTTATTTCTAAGAGCCCTAAAAAAGAAATTGTTAAGTTTAAGATAATCTGCTATGATGCATCATAGAGTTGATTCACACTGGTGCATTAGATAAAATATATATTTGAACATTTGCTTAAATACAACCATGATACATCAACTGGTGTCTTGGTTCAGAGCCTTGATGGGTTCCATATTGGTTTTTACTAATGCCTGCCTCAGCTGGTGTAATATATATTGATATTTTCCAACTTTAATGTCATAAAACCTTTTAATAGATCCATAAAATCCCTTTAATTGGCAGTAACAATTTTAAAGCTGGCGACAAGTATTGATTATTTCAAATTTTAATCGTAAATTATGATCTCAATTTCTTTTTTCTGGTTCTGTTATCATTGTGTTTGTATTATATTTCAAAGAGAATGAAAATTTTCAACAAATATTTACACTCAGAAAATTTTGTGGATAAAAGGCAGTTATTGTTAAAAATATATGTTGGTATAGATAATAGTCCTTACTTGCACAACAGTCTTTTGATGATTACAGAATATTTTTGTATAAATGCTATTTTACTATCCATGCTGTTGATAATGGATTATTTCAAGGTGTTTAAAAATACTGCACTATGATATATTAAAATCTGTCAGAATGTACATGAGGGGTAATTCTTGTTGCACCACAGTATAGGAAAATGCTTTCTGTTTTAAATTTAACTCATGTCATATTTTGATATAAGGGCAATCAAGCTTGTAACCTGGGGTTTCTATGGTTACACCAAAGCCATTTTTTCGGTGAACCTAGTTCCTGATAATCCAAACCACCCCATCTTTGTGCATCAAACCATCAAAATGATGATGAAATTCACCATTTACATGCTTAGATGCTTCAGTTCCCAAAAAACCTGTTCTCCTGTCCTCCTCAAGAGCTCTTCCTCCTGAATCTCACAAGATTGCCTAGATGTCCATTGGACCTATGGCTCTGACTTCCCCTTCTTATCCCACCTTACCTCGGATTTAAAGAATCCTGGTGAAAGGTGTGCCAATGTAGTTTCTCTGTTACATAGAAAAAACTCAATTTGGTACATAATATACTTTTATTTTGTGTTGTAACAGGGTATAGTTTGGCTTTAATAATATAGTCCATAACTTCTGCATGGAAATGCCTACCTTTTTAATGTCTACTTGGCACTTCCTCACCTGTCATCTCCTATGTGCCTTCTTCCTTCGTATTATTGTAGATCTCAAGTGGTAAGCTGTTCATCAGATCTAATGAATCTAATTTTTATGTTGCAGTTAAAATGTATTCAGAATTTGTCTTTAAAAATAATTGTCTTTTAATAGCTTTGAATTTTAGTAAATAAAATGTTTGTTATACATGTTTATATTAATTATTATGTATGCTTTCTGTTTCCTTTTGGTGCAGACTCATCACAAACCAAAAACCTAAGTGTCTATGTTAATGTATATTTTTATTATGTGTCCCAGCATTACCTCCCTGAAAGCTAGATTATTCCATTAGCATCTACTAATTTCATTCCCCAATTTTGATGCCTTTGAATGTTTGGTGCAAGCTTTTATCATTACAGAATCGTACACATTTTAATGGTGGTTTTAATATAAGCACTAAATATAAGTTCAAATTTTAAATGGTTGAGGGGATTTCTTTTCTGATATTTCATCTTTAAGCAATCTTTGGTATGCTTTTGATCAGGTTATATGTTATTGGGATTGTATGTCAAATGCAAAAAAAAATAAATAAATAAATAAAAAATGAAAAGTATACTTTTGTACTGGTGGCTTTAAGGTTATTGTGATTTCTTAGCTTCACCTGGTGTTGGTAATATTCTTTTCTGGGTGAAAACTGTTAGCAAATAATCATGCATCTTTAAAAAATGAAATGATTAGGAGACAAAAATATTCAGTTGCATAAGTATACCTTTAAAGATCTACTGTCTGACAAATCTAGAAAATCCTGCTAAACTTCAATTAATAAATTAGTTTGCTTTAAAATGTGATATATGATATATGTCAGTCTGCCTTGAACAAAACAAAAAAATAAAAACAAATTTTGCAATGTGTAATGTCGGAAGACAAAACACGTTGAAGAGAGAGAAAGAGAAAGAAATTGCTTATTTAAAGGGATAAAATAAATTGGCAACAATGACAGCAATTTAAAAATATTATAATAATATTTATAATATTATTATTAATATTTTTTCCACATTTTTTTAAGGGAATGAATTATAATAGTTTACTTCTAAATATGAAAGTTAAATTCAAATTTTGAATTTTATTGTTTACCATGTTTCTTAGCTAGAATAACAATAGATTATTCTTGATTTTTGATTCTTGATTCAACGTTGACAGTATACCTTTAAAGACAACTTGTTGGGCATTTATTTTAAATATTTAGCATCCATTCAATTCATTAAAATGTCAACATCAAAAATACAATATAGGAATTTCTTTTCAGTCGGTAGGCAATGGTGGCTCCAGGAATTTTCCCAACAGTGGGTCTGACATATCCAGCAGCGGGGTCCAAACCAAGTGGGTGACTAAAGCCATAGTCAGGGTCCTGGAATGAAAGGCCCTGGTAGGGTTTCATGAGGAGAGTTTTTATGGCTTAATATGGTTCAAATTGTGCTTTCAGACCACAATATTAGGGATCAACAATCAAAATAACATTATTTCAATAGACAGATTATTAATTTTGATCTGCTAACCTCTTGGTGTTAGACGACAGGGGGGGGCCAGGCCTGTCCGATGGGGTAAAAAGTGTTCCCCTGCCCTAGTTGGCGCCACCAATGCGGGTAGCATCTTCCTTTTCATATGCTCATACCAATTTTAGGTATTTCTATGTTTTTATAATTTGCACGTTGAGATTATTATTATTTTGTACCATTTTAATGAATTAATGCATTAAGAGTTTAAAAAAACTTTAAAAAAAGAATTATATTTTTGAAAATGAATACACAACATGTTAAGATATTATAATTTTTTCTGTAACTTGAATTCTAGCTAAGAAAACTGCGGCTGGAACCTTCAGTGGCGATTCATACTTCTACTACGACCTGAGCAAAGGTGAAGAAATAGCCAGCGACAATGACGACATCACATTTGATTTTAGGACGCAGCATCCAAACGGACTTATATTGGGGGCTACGGACGATGATTATATATATGTGGCATTGTCGGATGGGCACTTGCATGTGAAGTTCAATCTAGGATCTGGAGCATTTGATGAGAAAATGGGCTTACAGTCATTATCTGACAACAATTGGCATCGTGTTTACATTCAACGTAAACGACAAAATGTAAGTTAATTATATCTTTGACTTCAAATATAAAACGTAATACAGTAAACAGATTGCTACATGTGGTTATTATCTTTGACCCGCACACTGCTGTGGGGGCAGTGGCATATTTACGTTTACATGGTTACATCTTACAACAGTATGATAAGTCCATCATTGCAAGAAGTTTAAACATTACGATTAAATAAATATCGTGAGTAAACATTATAGTGAAACTATCATATGCGTTTAGGTCTTCTTGTGTGTATGACCTGCTGTAATGCTAACCTGACACTGATTTTGGGGGTCAACGATAATATGAAACAAGAATATTTCAGGTCTAGGTTTGGGATTCGACTTATACACGGTGTCAACATATACTCTGAAAAATACGGATCTCTTGTGTTGAGTTCTTTGTAGAAGGGCTATGTAGAATAGAAGTATTTTCCACTGTTGTTAAACTTGGCTTTACCAAAGTCTGTCTTTTATTTTTTTTAATCAGAAACAGTTTTGTGATCTACGGAAATGCTTTGGCGACACAAATTTGGGTCGCAACCCATAGTTTGAGAAGCAGAGGTCTAGTAGTTATGACACCAGTTACAGTAGTTATTTGGAGATTGTAGGTTCGATTCCCACTCGAATCTCTTACAAATTTTTTTTTCGCAACTATTGGGGAATATACTTAGTTTTTGGTGTTAAACATGTAAGCTAGGGCAAAACATGCCTACTGTTTACATTTCATATGTTCATGGTTGTGACATGTTAAATTTTAATACATAATGTGTGCTACAAATAGAAGAAAACTAAAGTTATAATAAATTATATAAAAGTATTTTAGGGTGAAATTAGGCATGAAACTCTAAATAATAATCTGAAACCATCTGAAATCATAGAAAACTTAAATGTATAGGATGGAGGGCACAATTCATAGACATGGAGTGGATAGTTATAAGAATCACTTTTTTCTCTCTCATTCATATTTCTATCCAATAGTGACTTATGAGTCTAAGCACTTTTAATTAATTTTAGTCCTGAGAAAAAAAAACAATATATGTTATTGTTTGTTATTGTTGGTATATTTTATTGAGTAATGTGATGAATGTAAATGTAGTTGGTATATTTTATTGAGTGATGTGATGAATGTAAATGTAGTTGGTATATTTTATTGAGTGATGTGATGAATGTAATGTAGTTTGATTTGTATAGTGCTTTATACCAAATTTTCAAAGCGCCCAAGGTGTAGACTAGCTTTACTTGTACCATAACTTGCTGCTCCCCCAAGGGTCTCTTCGTGTCTATGAGCTACCAGGTAAACCGGTACCAGCTATCTCTCGTCAGTCCACAACGGTTTGTATGAACCAGTACACCGGGTAACCCCCAAAGTAATTTGTACAATTGGTAATAGAAGACAAATCCATAGACTCTGTCTTACAGGCATTAAGGAGAAACTATTGTTTGTCAGAAATTGCTTATTGATTGGTTGTGTGTAGGGATAATTTTTTTCTTTTAATAAATCAGCTGAATATCTGTCATACAATATAGAGGGCGCCATATGTTGTTTTAAGCCAAGCTACCCAACCACAAAGTCTACAATTAATATTACCAATAAGCTTAATTTTGAACTCTATAGTTTCAAAAGTATTACTTTTTTAAAAATGGAAATAGATTGTGAATTAAACCAAAAATCATCTTTTGAAAAACTAGGTCTGAGAAATGTAGGATTTATCTTTTAAATTTTAAGATAAATTTTTTGTCTTCAAAATGGTATTTCATGTACCACAATAGTTTTCTCAGTGATATTTATTTCATTCTGTCATATTGTATCTTTACTATTACAGAAGAAATTCAATTTTTCATTTCAGTGTATTGAGCTATAGATTTAATCTGAGACTAATTATTAAATCTGTAGTTGACTTTTTTTGATGCACAATGGAATACAGTTCCCATTGAACAACAGCATGCCGTAAATGGTATCCAATAAGCACCTGCTTAACGCATGAATTTAAAGTCGGCTCGGGTCCCGCAATATGGGACCTGGACCGACTCATCTTTATATCTGAACGTGAAAGGTAACAGTTGTTTTGAGCTGCTCACAGGTAACGTGGCCCTGGGCCGATATAACAAGTGTGATTGGGCTCTATGTCTTTGATAAAAGCTTTCCCACTACACCACATTCATGGAAGCCTCTAGAAATGTTATTAGCTGTGCTTTGTTGTAAACAATATTTAATATTAGATTAAGATATTTATTAATATATTTTTTTTCTCAACAGGTTGTCGTAAAAATAAATGACACTTTGATTGAAGAAGGCACAACTAAAGGGGACTTTTCAACATTATCAATAGCCAATAAGTTCTACGTTGGAGGCTGTCCAATGTCGCTCTTTGATAACACTGATAATTTTAGAGGCAATATTCGAGGGGTTAGTGGTTTGTTTTTTTTTTATACTAATTTATTAATGGGCTTAAAGCTGGGAGTTGGTTGAGAGCAGATCAGCATTGAAGTTCTGCATTAAATTAAAAGAAAAGTTGATTCTCTGTTAAGTATGGAGATGCATAGATGTTTAGGTAATGGAGTTGTTAAAGCACAAAATAATCTGTGTAATTACTATGTAATTCTTCAGTAGAACTTTTCTAAAGTCACTCAGATGTTTATAATTACCTTAATATATGAATTATTCACCACAATTTTGACTGGAAAATCTAATTCTGGGTAAGGAAGCAAGGAATGCGATAGACCACCGTAAGAACATTTCAGGTAACAAAAGCAAGCATCCGACTGATCGGGATTAGCCCCTAAAATAGAATTTAAAGTACATCATGCCAACTTGGCGTACGTGGCTTCTTCACCTCCTTGTATTCATAACAATGTCAACATTTTTAAGGACGGCAAAAACATCAATAAAACTCTGTATTATCATTGTGGTCATGATGGTAGCAACCAATCTATTTACTCATAATGCTCTATACTGTTTAAAACAAAATACACATAATACATTATGTTTAACAAAGAAGAGTTTAAAATTGTGATTTGTCCCGAATACAAAAGAAAAAAAAGAATAATAATAATAATATGTATTTTTTTTATATAGTGCTCTACACAACACAGTCTAAGAATGCATTGCCACATTGTATGCCAGTCGTTGTTTGATGCATAAACTATATTAGCGTATTTTGCACTCAAACCTCCTCCGATGTCTAGGTTTAGAGCCCAGCCATAATCGTTGCCTCAACTGCTTCCACAAGATGAGATATGCGTTTATCAATGACCCTAGATCAATATAGTAGCCAGGATTTTCAAACAGTATGGGACAATATCAGGGTGGACCCACTTTACGCGTAAATTCAAATAATGTGGACCCATTTTCGAAAAAGGTTGACTCATTTTTTGCAAAAATCTGAAAAATCTGGACCCATTTTCTTAGAAGTTGACCCATTTTACGTAAAATATGAGATATCTAGACCCATTTTTCAAAAAGTGGACTTATTTTGTGCATAAAACAGCATAATTTATAACTACTTTCAGAATAGTTCTTTCTACAAAGTTTTTACCTAAATAATAGTATAGATTTACATAGTGTTATCCATCAAACAAGATGCTCATGGTGTTTGACGTGTGGACTAGTAGCTCATTCAGTGCCTTGTATCGTTCCTAAGGGTCCCTTTCGTGTCTGTGCCACCCAGTAAACAGATACCGATGTACTGGGTTCTTTGTAGTGCACACAAGTCATTGTGTACATTAGGCCTAACACGGTTTATAGTCCTTATCTGATGAGACATGTTCTCCCACGAGAACCATAGATGACCCTGCCGCTCGAACCAGTACCGATATTATGGTTGTAGGTTGCGGCACGACTTCTTTAAACAATCAACTCGGCCAATCAACTCGTAAAAATTGCTACCCGAGCTGTTGAATATTTGCATATGATTAGATGGAAAATTACACAATGCTTTTGCCATAGTGCTTAAAAGTGCCCAACTGTTAAATTTAATGAATCTGCCAGATACAAAATTCAAAGGCTCATTGTGCCGGAGGGACTGAAGATTATTAAGATATTGGAAATTGGGTTAGTTTCTTTGAAATTAGACCAACATTTATTTACAAATAATCTGAGACAACAGTATTTATATTGCAGTCTTAGACATTATGGCTGGATTTCAGTTGCAAAACTAATTTGTTTGGATTGTTTTTCTTATTTTTTTAAATTAAAAAATCTGATGGATGATTATGTGGAATAAAGAATGACTTGAATCCCTAATTAGCGGAGTGCTTTCACCAAAATAGCTAATCATTTACATTTTTTAATCACTTTTAACTCTTGGTGTAGATTGGTGTTTTGAATATTAATAATGTTTTTCTATAGAGTACTACAGTGTTACGTCACGATACCATGTGATACTATTCCGTTGCTATCGGCGACACAAAATGCGTTCAACTTGATGCCATTTTCTCCACTGACAAACCATTGATCCCAATTTCTAATGTAATTATTAAGATGTTGTATCTTAGTTTTTCTTTGTCAATTTTAATTTATTAAATGTGTGTTCCCATAAGTAATATAATGTGATCTTTTGTGTTTTTAGTACATTTTGATGGTAAATTATTAGGTTTTAGAATACCTATTCCAGAAACCTATTCCAAACCATTAAGATTGTGAAGTCATTCAAGCGTAATGAACGGAACCCAACGTCTGATTGACAACAAAGGGCGCCACTTGGTGTTGTGACGACACGACTGTTGTACTCTATGGATTTACAGTAGTTTGATTTGAGATGAAGTAATGACAACAATGTGAATTGAGATTTCTTTAGATTTGAATGATCATAGCATAAAAAAAATTGTCTCAATAACACCATTAACCATTATTCATAGTAAGTACATCCTTGAAAAGGTTACACATTCATAATTAAATGTATTGAGAAGGATTACAGGGTTGTAATTGACAATAAACCGCAATTAACAGGCGATTATATTTAAATTCCTGTGATTTCTCAATTAGAAACGATACATTAATTATATCATGGAGGAATGATTAGATATACTATACTTCTAAATCTAATCTCCTTGGAATGTTATATGCTATTACTGCAGGTCTCCCTCCAAAATTAGACTTTTGGGACCGGATTTTCATGGTCTTTAGCAGCTTTGGTCTATAACAAGGATAATAATAATTAATAAAAGACATTTGTTAAATTGGAACCACAGAAAAGTTGTCTTTAACTGGAGGTAGACCTATATTTCCAATATACTATGATAGGCCTACATTGGTGTTTGTTGTTGTTGTTTTTTTTTAATAGAAATTGATCTTAAAAGGCTTATAGCGGTACATTTAAATTACAGTTATGATAAAGTAATTCCAATAAACTTTATTACACTACAGTATGTTTTGATAATTCGTATATTAATGCAAAGTTTGTATCACAAGATAAAATAATAATGATAATTATTAGTAATAAATAATAATAAATGAGAATCTGTATCAGGTCAATTAAAAAATTGTCAAAGAATAAACTTGACTAAAAAGCTTTGGAAAATTAGAAAGTTTTGAGATTCTTTTTAAATAAAAATTAATTTGAGCTACTTGCGAATTCACCAAAGGTTATTGTTGTATACCGGTAATGTTTAATATTCAGCACTTTGATTTTATTGCTATTTTTGTTATAAAATGAGGAAATGTATTTTATTGATTTATATTTTAATCCTCAATAAATAATAAATATATTAATAAAATTAATACCAAAAGCCAGGTTTGAGGCCTTTACATAAAGTTGCTATTTCCACTATGTATTGATTCTTTTCCTGCCCATCTAATCGTGCACATTACGTTTTTATTCACATTAGCACTGTTTTAAAAACCCTCTTCACTTTTGGCTCAGTTGGTTAAACCATGTCTTTTTGGATATCTTCTTGCATAAGGACTCGATACCAAAGAATCAGTCTGGCTTCTGCATACTCTAACTATTATACAGTGTATGTTTTTTTGGAAAAGTAGCCCTGGTATTATGAATGTACATGACTACGAAGAGTGTCTCTCTTTGTCAGCTATGATATACTCATTGGCAAGCGTCATATTCAATTCAGCACATTAACGCTGCAAGTTACAGGTTAATTGCCTACCTTTACCTTTTATTTGTGACTTTAATGATAGAGAATTCTGTTAACAACTTCTTATATTTTTATATTTTTTGCAAAGAGTATAATGTAACACAAATCCCAGTTTGGTAGTCTGCAAAACTGTGCTGTATATTTAATTTGTTGATGTAGAATAAAAGTGTCTAAGGGGAGTAATTGCGGTGATTTGAATGAGATGTACAAACCTGTCGTGGAGCGGTAAGGCTTTGATACAAGAGGTTTCTAATTAATGTGGTAAAAAGTTCATTTCTGAGGCTAAGCACTTGTTTGTGTCCTTCAGCCCGACACTTTATGGGTACGTATGTTCCTACCGAAAAGATCAATATTGTTCTTTTATCACTGGATGGATGAATGGATGGATTTATTCGGTGTAATTACCAAGGATAACCCACAAAAGTCTGAGGAAGACTTAAACCCAGTGGGGTCTTTCGGGTGGTGATTGGGCAGTACACCGGAGGACAATCCCCTACTCCTCCGAAGAGTGTACTGAATTCTTTAACATGCACATGGGCCATAATGTACATGTCAGCCATATTGTAATCAGATTATGAAAATATAATGCAAATGAAGAAATATTATAATTAGCTAGATTAAATTTCACAATGGAACATGTGTGACCATTAGAATAAAAATGAACTTAAATTTATGAATAACATTAAAATCAAGCCACTTGATAATGATAATAATATTAATATTCGGCAAATATACAGAAATGTATAGGGAATGGGCGAAATCCCAAAGATGATTTGCTCCCTATCTTTTATAATGAAACAATACAAAACACAATCAGGAAAATTAATCATAAAAAAAAAAAAAAAACATAAAATGCTTAACTGAATATGTAGTCTCTATAGAAAAATATATTTCAGGATTCTTCATCATGTGCATCCCCAATTGTAATATATAGCATTACAAGTATTTCGATGCCAATGTAGCAGTTCTCTACTAAATTTGCATACTTATTGCTTAATTATTGTTCCGTGTTTATTGAAGTTGGTCTATTGATCTGTCATAAATTATCAGATATTATTTGCATAATGATTTTGTAAACAGAGCAGTACTATACTTTCCAAAGTTAATTACTTTTATAAAAGCAAAATAGTAAAAGTATTAGTATAATATTGGACATAATTAACACCCACCATTCTGCAGTGGGATATTTTAGTAAATTCTACTGTCTGTGGT